TTAGTAGCTACTGAGGCAGAGGGGGAGTAAGGGTGTGAAAGAACGCTGCGCAGAGAGTCAACAACTAAACATGAAGTGAAACATTTCTTAAAAACAAGGGGAAAATGGCTCACTTAAGTAAGCTAACTATACCAACTACTTCCCTGTGGAGTAACCCTGCATTATATCCCAGTAGCAGCTAAAATAATCCCCACTTACGTGCTTCAAAAAGCACTTTCAGCACTGCCTTTAGTCTAATCCCTGGCTTTTCCAGGCACTGCAAGAGTTTCATCAAGCACAAAGAACTAAAACGACTCATTTCCTGACGGCCTTGCCTGGCTGAAGGAGGTATTGCACTTGCTTAATAAGCCTCCATCTTTTTTCACTATCCATCTTCTGTCCTGTAAATCCTCACAGCACTAGCAGAAATTCCTTGGTGATATAGTAGGTGGGCTCACAGCAGAGTCACAGCACACAGTGGCACATAAAGCATTAAGAGCCATTGAGTAGTCCTCCCCAGAGGCAGATAACAGTCAGAACACGGGGCGATAATGCTTGAATGTTGCTGATGCCGGTCGATTGAAATGGATCCATTATGCAGCCTCTGTTATGTGATATAGCAAGCATCCTGCTATTTCTGCTTCAAGTGCTTGACAAGTTCTTTTTCCATTACATTGCTTCATGAGTTCTTTGAAGAATTACATTATCTGGTGTTGAATTTTTTGCGTATGTTCTCCCTTGTGCTTCTTGTGGCTTTGTAGGCTCAAGATAAAGTTTTTCAAAAACCGCAAAGGTTGATTTTCTGGATTACTTCATGCAATTCATTTCTCAAAATTGCGTGCCCACTCTCTTCTTCTCATGTGCATTTTTCCTAGAATGTCACGACTGTGGCTACTTGCTGAACGTAGCCATAATGTATTTTTCGGACATGTTTTGGCCTTTTTCGGTCTGCTAAACCTACTCAGAATGTCCTCCATTTAAACCACCATCCCTGCAGAACTTTCCTTTCATCTTTGCAGCGCAATTTTACTGAGCCACAGCATTGATATACAATGTACTGAGAGTGAGAGAAAGAGAGGGAGCCAAAAAAGGTCAGCTCCTCTCACTGACTGCACAAGTCAGTGTTGTGCTTCAGTTAAGAAAAGGAAGTGAAGTGAGCACAAAGTTTTCTCTTCACAGTTTTCTCAGCTGAGCCTTGTTCATTTAGATTGGATATCAGAAGCTGCAGAAGACAAATTTCCTTCTTACATAGTAAGAAGGTTCTCATTTTCCCTACTACCCTGCGTCACAAAGTGACAATACAAATGGTTGCTTCATGGATAGGAAATATATATTTTATACCGTCTGTTCATCTCTAGAAAATGCTGTTCAGGCATTTTCCACTACTGCTTTACATTCCTAGTTTTGCAAAGAGAATATTTATGCGAGTCCAGTCAGCAAGCATGCAGTGTTGTGGTTGCTGGCCCCAAGGTATCTGCACTGGATTAATAAGTAGTATGATTCCTTTTTAAAAACACTAGTAGACACAGAGACAGTCACTGTTTTCTCTCAGGATTTCTTGAATATATCAAGGGATTTCATCCACATTCTTGCTGATTCCATTTCTTTTGGTTTTTGGAGGGCATTTTTCTTCGCATTGGTTGTTCAAAACACAATAAAATTACATTTCTCAATATGTTAGGATTCTCATACCATAGGCATCCTCATGACTTATGTTGATGCAGAGAGCTATTCTTTAACACTGTTTTCAACCACTGGAAGCAGTGTTGCCAATCAATGAGCATAAGCGTCTCCATTTCTCAGGTATTAAAGGTGCTAAATTAGCGAAACACAACACTACTTATGTTTTCACAAGATTTACTACCATGTGATATAGAGGGTATTACTCAGGCAGATGCGGTCACATAAATCTATAGAGTCTATGGGGAATGAGGAAAATAATGATAAAAGAAGTTTCCATTTGTGGTCCACTTTTTTTTTGATCCAGGTAGTTTATTAAAATTATTTTTCCAACAGTTAAACACATAAGCATATACCAATAAATGTACAACATTGCTCCCACCTCTCAATAACAGATCTCAAGTGAAAAATAAAATAGTGATATATATACTCAGAGTACACACAAAACTATAGGCATGCAAGACAATGGGCCACTGGGCTATATACATTCAACATAACAGAATCATGATTCCATATCACAGGATGACATTTTGTCAATATAACTAATGACCGGTTGCCAGGAAGGATGAAATTTTCCAGCACACCCTCTGATGGTGAACTTAATCTTCCTTAGATGAACATCACGTCTCTAATCCACAGGCCAAATGTTGGGGGCCGAGGGTCCTTCCACTTGGTGAGAATAAGTCTTCTGGCCAGCAGAGAGGTGATAGAGCAAGTTTATTCAGGGATGCTTCAGAGGGAATCACACCAAACATTTAAATCAGAGGGGTTGGCTGGATCGTTTGTCCTGTTATGTTGGAGTTAGTCTCAAAGGTTGAGCTCCATCCATGTAACTTGTGTGAAACATGTAAAACATGTGCAGCAGAGTGGCTGGAGCTGTCTTACCCAGGCCGCATGTGGGGTCCAAATCAGTGGAGATGATGTACAACCTTAAAATGTATAACAGATCGCCTGATGAGTTGGAGATATTCATTGAAACTTGTAGCCAAGTTGTCTCGGGTATTGTTTCTCCTAGTTCCCCTTCCCATCTATGCTTAAGGCCCTCTAAGGTAGTCAGCTTGTGGTCATTAAACACTGTATACATTTTACCAATGATCTTCTTTGAGTCCGTTTTGTTTTTAATTATCAGGTCCAGCAGAGAAGTGGACGGGTGCATAGGGAAACACTCAGAATTAGATGAGACAAAACATCTAATTTGCAAATATCTAAAAGACTTAAATCAACGTAAATTAAAACTTTTTGAGAAAGCTTTTTTCTAAAGAAACAAACCTCTTATCTATATACAAATTGTTGAAAGACCGTATCCCACACTCCAGCCAGCCGTGAAATGCTTCGTCCATAACCGAGGGTGTAAACAGGTGGTTTTTTCCTTATTGGCGCACCAAGTCACAACTCAGTAAGATTAAAGGCTTTTCTGAATGAATAACAACACGGTTGTGTGTATATGATGGTTTTTAAGTGGTCCACTTTTTGCCCCAATTCTAGTGTTGAGTCGTTTTGAGCAAGTTCTGGTTGTGTTAAGCATTATGCATGGAGAGCAAATGAGGAAACTAGTCTGATGAAGTCTGGAAACCGTTGGGTTTGTTTGGAATTAATTTAGTTTTGATTTTGCTTTTTTAACCCAAATTCTCTGGCACCCCAAAACTAGTGAATGTGTTCCCAGATTGATAGGAATATTGATAAGCATTTACTGCTGCATAACTTTATTTAAAAAGTACAACAGTTAGAACACTTTTTAGTGTGTTGCCACTGAGCATCATGTATGGCTTTTAGTTTGCTTGAGTTTAGGTTCTTGTTGAATAAATGCTGTTGTTGTCTGGTTATTGATGTCTTTTTGAACGAGTTGGAGTGATAGGAGGGACTAGACTGAGGTTATTCGATGCCTGGCCTTAAATTCTAAAACTTTGATACACTGTTATATTTGTGACGATCCCTAATCTCTTTTTCATTACCAGTTTCATACGACGCAGAGATACATTTCTTGTTAAACTAGTGAATTTATTAATTGTGTGTAACAGCTTTCTCTTTTGTGTTTGATCTGTTTGATTTGTGTCTGATTTGCTATGAAGATTACTGAGAAGAGTTAGAGTTGAGGTTTGAGATAATTAAAGACACGTAAAAAAGCTGATTGAAGTCTGTGAAGTGTTTGAAGATGGATTGGGAATTTTGACTTCAGACACAATTTTGCATTTGGCCATAAACAAAAATACACATGCTAACCGCAGCGAACCATGAAAATTCAGAAACAGCTCGGCTTGTCACGGTCTTGGTCTTGGGTTCGCTGCTCCTGACTTTACTGTGCGGAGAGAAGATTACAAAGAAAAAAATCTTTTCTCCTTTGATCTCTACAATAATTATAACACCTCAGCTGCAAATAAAACCTTTAATGTGTAGCAGTGATGTGTAGTGACTTTTGTAATAAAGCAAGCAGAGAGAAATACAAATAAACAAAATAAAATAAAGTCTTCCACTACTTTTTATTAAG